TGGTCTCACAGGAAAGACATATAGGCTGCTGACTAAAAAAAAAAAAGGTTGAGGGTTAGATTCCTGGAGTGGGACCTTCCTCTCTGCCCTACACAGATGCCTCCAGGCTGAAGCCCCTGCTGCTGTGTAACGGTGTAAAAGTGTGTGTGCAGGAAGTGAGTTGGCAACTCTGAAACAAATGCCTCGTAAGCACTTCGGCAACACGTTGCTCCATTCACGCTGCTGTGTGCGGTGTGCACGAAGAAATCCGACACGACGAAGGCAGCGGGAAGTTATAAAACGTTATAACAGCAGAGGTTCTGTTTTCTGTCCAAACTCACAGAGACAGAGACATAAAGAACACACACACACACGAAACACTGATAAGGAAATTCGACATCACACACTTGTTACATAACTGCAGACGCTCGAAGACAACACGCAGTTGGGCCTCGGATAAAAAGTTCCCGGAATCACACACACACACACACACACTTTCTTGTCCTTCACACCCACACTCAGAATGTGCCATTTGCCACGAAGGGGCCAAGACAGGGTACTGGTACACACACACACACACACACACACACACACACTAATACATATGTCAAAGTGAGGCAGTAAATCTATTCTGCGAGAAGAGATCGGAGCCTTTGGTGGAACACCGTTTCAAACACACACACACTCGACTTCAATCATCGCCCTCGATCAGTAGGCTGTTATTAATGATATTGTCGGTGATTGACAAGCACGACCGGCTCTGCCTTCTGTCATCGGCCCAAACCACCTGAAGGCCAGAGCAGACATGTTCGCATGCAGGAATTGACTTTACACGTCTGTGAAATGAAGCCGTCGTGTGTGTGTGTGTGTGTGTGTGTGTGTGTGTGTGCAGTTGCTGTGATCTCAGCTGTCATCTGGTAACAGGAACATGAGTAGTGTGTTTCTGTGCAGAACTCCAGGACTAACATGTGGAGCTGCAGTGGACCAGGACTGAGCAGAGGTTTTCTTAGACCAGTGTTTCCCAAAGTTTTTTTCTGTGAACCCATATTTTAAAAGTCACAAACCTTGGCCAACCTTGACCCAAGTCAAGACATTATTCATAAACTCCTGGGAAACATGATGCGAGACGACCCCAAAAAAAAAAATTTCTTGCGACCCACCTGAGGGTCGCGACCCAGTCTTTGAGAAACAAAGTCTTAGAGGACTAGAAACCTTTCTTTTGTAAAATCTTGTAAAAGAGCATGGATTCTCAATTAATCTTTCAAAAAAACGTTTCAGTACATGTTGTAAAAGAGCATGGATTCTCAATTAAAAAACGTTTCAGTACATAAACATGATTTTTTTACAGTATCCTCGGAAACAAGCTGGGCCGCAGGAAATTGCAGCAAAGATAAGAAAACATAAATCAAATTTATATTTATATATTTTCTTATCACTTACTTTTATATCTAACTCTTTGTCTTAAACCACGCCACACGTAAACTGCCGTAATCATCGGATTCCTGAGTTTCTGAATGTACCTGAACGCACCTCGTGGTACAGTGCAAGTTACGCTGCTCCCCAAAGCTAGCTGTAGCTAGCTAGCTCATGTTCCTTGATCATTTTCTTAAGCTTCACAAATGTAATTATTATTGAATAGTGAATACAAGTATAAAAACACATTCCAAAAGTTAATGCAATATTCTGTAGAATTTTCTGTGGATTTTCAAAGGCTGGTCAGGGAAAAGTTTGGGAAGCCCTGATTTAGGAAACAACAGATGAAGAAGGGGTTCAAAGCTGTGGGGTCTCACTATGAGTCACTATTTTTCATGAATATTTTAGATTGGATGAGTTATTTTAGTCGGGTTTTCTGAAAATACGGTTCTCCTCCCTCAGTGACTCACGTCGGCCGTGCTTAGAGACACTGTGTGAATCCTGTGAATGCTGTGTCAGAGCTCCACGCCCTGTTGCTCAGCTCTATACATAGACTGTGACTGAGAGGTGCGAAGTGTTGGCACCGTAGAAGCAGATTCATCACGTCAGCTCCACACACATGACGCGTGGACGCCTCATCACGCCGATGCCCCCTGGATGCAGGCCTTCATGTGGAGCCTGATGAACCCACTGTCTTCACCAACTGTGACTTTACAAAACAATCGACCTGAAGACAAATCCCAGGGAATCTTAACAGAGAATGGGCAGCATCACAGACTGATGAACTGAACAGAACATTCTGGTGAACTTAAAATCCAGTCTACATTTAGCCATGATTTAGTCACTTATTCACACTGATCTGGGAACTATGTGCTATCCAAATCGAGACTAAAAACCAAAATAGAAATCGACAAGGCAAACGAAGAGAACTAAAATATTCTGTTTCCTCGTAATATGGCACCACACCTGGATTATTTGCATTGAAAGAACAAAATGACAAATGCAGCTCAAAATGTGCCAATGCTAAAACTAAATATGTTAACACAAGTAAAATATATGTAAAACTTATCTGAGTTTATGAAAGATTTATTTTATTTTTACCAGATGCACTTCCTGACTTAAAACATCATCAGCATTGAACAAAAGCAAGGTATTAAATCATAGTCACATTGTGTCACCACTAGGTCATCCATCCATCCATCCATCCATCCATCCATCCATCCATCCATCCATCCATCCATCCATCCATCCATCCATCCATCCATCCATCCATCCATCCATCCATCCATCCATCCATCCATCCATCCATCCATCCATCCATTTTCATCCGCTTATCCGTTACCGGGTCGCGGGGGCAGCAGTCGCTACCCAAATCACATTGCTCTGTACCAACCCCCTTAAACCTTCCTGCATGTGGTGAGTCCACTGGAAGGTAACTTAAACTTAAACTTAAACTTAAACTTGTGTTTATTTGTCATTTGTGACATAGCACAGCACAGCACACCATGCACAATGAAATTTAACCTCTGCATTTAACCCATCACCAAGTGAACAGTGAACAGTGAACAGGTACCAACTGCCCTAACCGGGATTTGAACTTGTCCAGGAGGTGAACCCTGAGGTTCCATACCAATGACAGAGACACTGCCTCTGGGCCAAAGCGCCACACCACTAGGTCAATTAGTTCAAATACTTAAGGCTGTTTGACTTGTCAGTCCCTTGAAGTGACACCTGGAAAAATGCGGCCAAACTTCGCCCAGCTGTTAAGAGTACATCATGGAATCTTTTGACAATATCTAGTAACCTACCCAAAAAATCGCCATAAATATATACATTTAATGGTAAAACAACAGCGTGTTGATGAAGGTATGATGTTTCTTCACCAGCCAGCTAGCCTAGCCTGCTAGGTCACAAATTAGTCACCATCATTCACACTAAGCCAGTAATTCACTGCGATGTTGTCAGAGTATTAGTGTATCTGTTAATGACGGTAATTACAGTAGTTCATGTACAAAGTTGTGTTAAATGTTCATAAATTAGGCAGCTAATTACTTAATTTCATTGGAGTTAGCTTAGCGTGATGTCACCCCGTGATGATACAATACCAACTCAGTGGGAATAAAGGGCTGCTGCCAACGGCAGGTTACGACAAACTGAGACCAAATATTACTGTGTGAACTGGTTTTGGGAGTCACTCCATATAAGGTCCATATAAGGTCAGTAGGAAAGTTAAGCTAATGCCCAGTTAGTTTGATCAGCCGCCAGAGTCTCCTGAGTTCATGTCTCAGTAAATAATGATTCAAGAAGCTGTGTCGCCCAATCAGACGGTTAGAGGTTTAACATCTCTCTTTTACGTGTTAGCTAACCACAACGCTTTTGCATTTTTAAAAATGTCCTCACTCTCTCTCCTACAAACAGCATTATTATGACGATGTTTATGGCTATTGTCTGGCAGCGAGAATGTAAAAAAAAAAACCCAGAAATCCATAGCGATGTGTCTAGGCTAGAGAAGACGAGCTTCACCTTCTCTCCGTACATGTGCTGCGTGCGGAGGTTGGGGGAGGGGGGGACTACGGTTTTCTTTTCTTGTCACACAACCACCCCCAAAAAAAACCCCTGTTTGTTTTTTAAGCTTTATTTAAAAAGAAGTGCAGCGTTTGTCTGACCGTCTGCCACTGAGAAGAGGTTCAAGGGGAGGTCACCGAGGTCAAACCCCCTTCAGTCAACGTACTGTATGTAGCACTGCTCTGTCATGTTTGCCGTCTTTGTCTTGTCCTGACGTTAACAGTGGTGGACAACTCTGGTCCAAATCCACTGATTCCACTGCATTCATTCTACCAACTTCAAATACTAGAAACACATTACTTTATAAAGAAAAAAACAATAGAACGTTATGAATAAATATCTCCGATCGCTTTTACCACTTTTACCAATTGAAATTGAAATTTTTACAGTGAATAGTTATAGGATCAGACACAAGTTCTAAAATGCTAATTTAATGGCTAACACTTTAGCTAACTACAGTTTACATCTTTATCTTTAACCAGTTGAGGATGAGGAAAATGTGGAAAAACAACAGGAAACGCCAGAAAAATCTGCAACAAAGTCAGAAAAAGTCTCAAATCAAAAAAGAGTCTGTTCATAAAATGGACCTGCCAACAGTTACTGCCTTCGCTGCCCAACTCCACCCCTTTGTTCTGGGTATTAGTAAGTACCTGCTCTGTTGACCTGCGACCAAACTGTCCTCCTTTAAGTCCTCAGCACCTGGGCTCTAATTGATATTTGATGGATGTTATGATTATTACCTGCTCTCAGAATAGACACACACACACACACACACACACACACAGTGAGGCTGTGATCCCAGCTCTCACCTCTGCAGCACATACCACAGCTGTGTGACAAAGCTAAGAGCGGAGCAGCAATGTGGACAACAAGCAAGGGAGAGACAAAAGGAGGGAAACGTGTGAAGGGGACAGGGACAGAGAATGAAGGGGGGACAACGAAGGGAGCGACAAGGTCAAAGTTTTTCCACACATGTCAAACTGACCTCAAATAAATTCACCTCTCAGTCTAATTTTCATTCGCATCTTTCTGGGCGCACTAACCTGCAGGGGGCCGCCGGCGGGCATTGTGGATCTCAGTGATGTCAGGTCGATGTCTCGGCCCTGATCTCCTCTCTCCGTCTTCCCCAGTCCCTGCATAATTAGAGCCGTATCACGAGCGAAGAACACACAGACACACACTCAGGCACTAAGTGTTGCCCCTGCTGCAGTAAAAATGCTAATGCATGGATGGCAGTGTCTGTTATGAAAGGAAATTACACTGGACGCCAGGCACCGAGTACAGGCCAGAGGGGACAGGGGGAGAGACAAACAAACGGTCCTTTCACTCCATCTTAGCCTCCACCAATCCCTGTCTCCCACACCCTCTGTTTCTGTCGCTCATTCTTCTCTGTTTATTAAAAAATATATATAATTTTCACTACCAAATGAGGCAGCATGTTGGAGCCAATGCGATGCTTGTTTTATTGCCTTGTCCTGATGTTTGACTGTGTTCATTTACCAACCATGGCAAACCAGTAACAGCAGAGTCCAAACAGGTTTCTTCTATTTATGACCTGTTTGCTGAAGAGAGAAACATTCATTCACCTGTATTTCTGTAAATTCACCCGAGGTCAGACGCACAGAGTCCCAGTAAAGGACTGAGGCTCCACTGTTTGGAGTTTACAGGTCTTTAAACCCAGGAGACCTTCAGGCTCTGAAACACTGACCTAAAAACACAGAAACAAGACCTTAAATAAAAAAATAAAACCACAGATCCACCACAAACCCACACCACCGCTCATAAAGTCGCAGTAATAAACGACATCACCCTGTTTTAAGGTGAGCAGATATTTAAGGAGGATTTAAAGAAAAACTTTTTTTAAGTAGTTTGTGTATTTTGTATGGTCTTCTCTGGAGTTTTTAGTTCATTTATTATTTACCATTATCAATGTAGATTTAATACAGTTTCAGTCACTTACACACTCTGACATCTTTATATCTCAGGAACTATTAGTACCTAGTACTAGTCGGACAGAACCAAAAGCTGAGTCAGTACTACCAGAGAGACCAAACACAGCACTGTAAGAGTTTAGTCAAAACAGCCTGAACAGATTTGATACAAAGACATGATTAAAACTGAGGACATAATTTTGATTTTTACTTATTTATTTATTTTTTACATTTTCCATCTTTGTCCGCAACAATAGATTTTTGTGGATAATCCAAAATAATAATAAACAACACCTACAGTATGTGGTGACATGAGCCTCTTTAAGTATATTTATGGATCTAGTTTGTATATTTTGTATATATGTCTATATCTAAGTTTCCATTTGGAAAATATCACGAGGCCTTGGATCACATCTCCTTATGCTGGCCTATCCAAATAGTGGCTTGGGAGCCTAATGTGGCCCAGACCCAGCCTCAGAGTGGCCCAGTTTATAGTTTGAGAATTGTAGAAAATCACTTTACGACAACAGGCCTGTCTCAAAGCAGACGCCTAATACTGGCACTAAAACAGCATTAACTTTTCATGTGCTAACAAACACTTCATTTTGCTACAAACTTCAGGCTCCAAATGTATGTGTTTATTTGGTAAATTGTGTCCTGACATCTAGCATCTAGCCCAGCTCTTTTTAAACTCGAATAACCCTAAAACAGTCTGTGTCGTTCAGAAAGTGCAGACAACCTCTCAGCTAACATGAGCCACCATCGGAGCTGACCAGTACCAGTGGTTGACACCTTCTTCCTCCCAGAGGAAGACGGTGTTTTTTCTTCTTTCACTGGTTAGCTTTAATGTCAGAGAGGCTCAGAGTGATTAGCGGGTGTAGATGTCGAAGCAGATTAGCCTAAAAGAACATAATAGCGTGTGTGTTTTTAAATGAAAACGTCGGTTTATTAGATTATGAGGATGAATGATCTTTTGTGAGGCCGAGGTGACGCAGGAATGTGCTGCTGTTGACTCGGAGCACAGGAGGAAAACAGTCAGTCGGATGTAGAGGAAGAAAAAAAAACACGTCAGTCAGCGAGTGAGATAGAAGCCAGAAGTTAATCTGTTTGTGTGAAGCAGGCTTGAAAGGCTTTGAGTGGAGCTCTGAAAATGCAGTACACAAACATGACACCAACTTACGGAGAAGCTTTCCACCAACAATGGACCGCAGGACAGGGGAAAGATTAACGTGCGTGCTTCTATGCAAATACCGTCCTGTCTTATTGTCAGTGGTGATTTAAAACATGGCTCTGGGCTGACAGTCCTTCAGAGAAATGATCACCTGTGCTGCAGGAATTTCATTATGTTGAGTTAAGAACAAAACAACACACAAACCAAACACAGCACAACCTTTGTCCCATAATGCACTGCACAAGTTTAAACACAGACATTAGCTTGATTTCTGTTTGTTTATTTGTTTGTTTTTCTACCACTATTATTGTTGTATTTTTACATTGTGTACTGTACTGTACATCCTGTACTTTAGTCATACATTTTCTTAGTTCACGTGCATATGAACTCCACAAGTAGAAACCAATGTGGTATCCAATTAGCAACAATCCAACTTACAGTGAGTGTTAGCTCAAGACGTTTTTAGCCAACCCCCCCCCCCTCAAAAAAACCTAACCCTAACCGACATTATCACTGAAATGTTTATACAATTTTCTGCAAAAATATGGCAGCAAAGCTCAAAGTTAACCTTAATTATAAAGCATAGCTGCAGGACACCAAACACAAATTTAGCCTAGGCAAAACTGTTAGCTTAAAATACTACGCCAAACAAACAAATGGTGGACATCAACAACAATTAGCCAATCACAAAGCTATAATGTAAAATTAGAAAATGTCATCCAATGTCACCGAAAACTATAGCACTACTTTTTCAAGTTAATTAATAAAAATAAAAAACAACAGAAATTAGCCCAGATTTAAACCAGATTCCATATGGTGTGATCCATGGTCCAAGCTGAACTTGGAATTAACAGATATTTACCTTAAAACCCTTCAGTGGTACAGGCTAGCACTCGATCATTAGCAAAAAAAAAAAAAAAAAAAAGTCTACGATGCAAAGCAGCCTAAAATGAACAGGAAGTTGAAACCACGAAGACTTAAAACATGGCATTAACCTAAGAGTGGAAGTCATCACACCGTGTCACATCTTTGTTCTACTCAGTAGATTTGAACTTTCAGCCTTGTGTTGAGTGTTTTAACATGATAAAATAACAAGCCGTGTCCGTCATACATGACTGCACAAAACCAATAGATCACTGAAGCCGTGCAGCAAAGCATGTGTACATTAAGGTGTGTCAGTGACAGCTACAGTAGAGAAGAGCGGGCTGTGAGCCAAGGACATACCATGAAATCAGATTTAAATAAACAGCATATAATCCAGGTTTAGTCTGCAACCATCAACATCCTGCACCTTCATCACAGAACTTTCCCAGAGCTGAGATTCAGCTCATTTGGGGGCTTGTGCATTTTTTTTATATGTTTTTCTTTGCACAAATCCAGAGAATTTATCAATATTTTGATTTTTTTCTATGTGTTTTACTGTTCAATATATGTAAAATGTACGTAGTCAGTGAGAAACGTAGGCCTGTTTAGTTAAACATGACCTTGATATACTCACAGAAATTAAAGAAAGACAAACATGACAATCTTCAGTGGCTCTGAGTTTCTCTTTTTTTTTTTGGTTTTTACTGGACATCAGTAGCCTGGTGAAGATTAAATGTGAAAATATAAACTTTCCCCACGTACCACTGGATAGTGCCACAGTTTGAGAACCACTACTGTATGCTATCGTGTTGGTATGTAGTGGAAACGGTCGATATGTTGAAATGTTATTTTACAGTGAAATGATAAAAATATCTTTCTTTAGATTTTAAATCTCCCTGATCGAGACTCTGTTACAAAAGACTGTGCCCACCAGATAATTACTGTACATCTTGGCATAATTACTGTTCGTTAAGAAAAGAAAGTGAAAGAAGTCATTTCTCACTTTTCTGTATTTTTATCCACAGACATGTTGATTAAAACAAAACTGCAGTTGTCGTGTGGTGTCGTTTCGGGACAGATTATCTTCTTTAAAGCAACTTCTCTCTCAGTACGTCTTCTGTCATGACACATCCATTAACATGCTGCCAGGAACTCTGCTAATCTGGGCTTTCTCTCTCCCAGAAGTTAATTTGCCTTTGCGGTAGTAAAAAAAACACTTCATGAATACTGGGGTTGTTACAGTGCCTTCAAGTTGCTGGTCCTTTTTGGGCAACAAACTCCAAAAACGGAGGTTAAAAATAAGTAGGTCTGCCCAGAGACTTTTCCTAGAAAACCGTGAGTTTTCATGAGGCGACACTCGTGGAGCCAAACCTCTTCATTCTCTGGTTCCTAGAAACAGAGCCCCAGTTGATACCAGTTACGGCAGAATGCACTGCCTCTTCCCAAATCTTGGAATGAATACCGGCTGTGTAGCAGGAGATTTGGACTTAAGTGAACTTGACTTATTCCCTGGCCTTACAGAGACTTGTAGTGTGGTGTTTTTGATGGACAGTCGTCTGGACACAGTGTGTAATCCAGCTTTGGAGAGAGAGCTTTTGTTTGTTTTGATACTGTGAAGGACGCTGGCCACTATTTCCTGCATGTTTCTGTGTTTTCTTGCGGACGCTAAATCAGCAGTTGCACAGAAAATTCCAGTGATTGAGTTTAAACCTCAGCAACACTCCTTCCACCAGAATACACCCTGAGGCGACTTTGTGGCACTTCGGCTCAACATGTAACAAGTTTGCTTGACTGCTCCATAAACAGGGTTCTGAGAAACCATCAACAAAAACCTGCAACACTGGCTTTTTGTTCATAGTACCTGGTCCAGGCATGGGTAAACGTTTTGACTTGGGGGCAACAATGGGTCCAAAAATCTGATTGGGGGGAGGGAGGGGCTGGGTCAGGAACAGATAGATGGAGCCGGTTAGTTCATATGAACTAAAACAAATGACATGTAAAAGTCATAAAGGCTAAAATGCTAAAATGCTTTAAGCCTTTTCTACGCCATCTATGGAGAAATGTGGGCATTGCAGTGAAAAGGCAGATGTTTAATGATAATAGAAGGGAATAACATAATTTGGACAAGTTTGGCGGGTCGGATTAAAAAGCCAAACGGGCCAAATATGGCCGCCGGGCTGTAGTTTGCTCATGCCTGATCTAGTCTGTTCAGCTGCATTTTTTTTAAAGCATATATTAGCAGCGCAAGGTGATATAAGTTGTGACATGCTTTTAAAGTCCCTGCAACCATTCCTCCAGACAAAAGAAAGTGGAAACTTCCATCAAAGAACGCCCAGTTTCC